TTTTTTTTTTTAGGCAATTGGGGTTAACTGACTTGCCCAGGGTCACGCAGCTAGTAAGTGTCAAGTGTTTGGTCTGAGGCCAGGTTTGAACTCAGGTCCTCCTGAGTTTAGGGCTTGTGCTCTATCCACTGTGCCACCTAGCTGCCTCTCTAATTCTAATTTCAAGGCGTTCTTTTCTTCAGTGAATTTTTGTGCCTCTTTGACCATTTGGTCAATTCTGATTTTTAATGCATTATTTTCTTCAATATTTTTGGTGTTTCTTTTGCTAAGCTGTTAATTCTCTTTTCATAATTTTCTTGCATCATTCTCTTTTCTCAGTTTTTCCTCTATTGCTCTTTTCTTTTTCTTTAGCTCTTCCAGGAATTCTTGTTGGGTTTGTATCCAATTACTTTGGTTGTAGCTGTTTTCATGGTTTATCCTTCTGAGTTTGTTTCTTGGTCTTTCCTGCCACCATATTAGCCTTTTATGGTCAGGTTCTTTTTGTTATTTGCTCATTTCCCAAATTATTTCTTAATAACAATCTATTGGGAAGTGTCCCAAGCTTTGGGCTTTTTCATGCTGCTGTTTTCAGAACTGGTTCTTGGGATCTGCAAGTATTTGGTGCTTTTAAAGTGGTTTGATTGGGGGAAAAGCATGGTCACTGTTTTGATGGCTTGTGCTCTGGTATTTACCCAGGAAGGACCCTTATCACCCTGCAACCACCAATACTATTGCTCCTCTTGGCCTTGGAACTGTGACCAGGACCACTGCTATCCCATAGCTGCAAGTGATGGTGCTCCTCTCTGTACTGGAACTATGATGAGCAATCGAGTTCCAAACACCTCCCAGTCCTGCACTCAGTGTCAGCTCAAGGTTCCCTGTAATCTATTTCTGACAAGTTGTATGACACCTTATAATCTCTGAACTGAGAGCTCCCAAAACTACTGCCATGACTGAGGCAGCTGTCTATGGACTCAAGGCCAACTCCCACCCCAGTGTCACAGACCTCTCCTGTTGATCTCCTAAGTTGTCTTAGACTGAAAAAAATGTCTCATCCTAATTTTCTGTTGACTCTACCACTCCAGAATTCAGTTTGAGGCATTATTTTAAGGTTGTTTGGAGGGGAATGTTGGAGAGTTCATCTGGGTTGTTGCCTCTATACCATCTTATCTCTGCCCCCCCCAAACAATAAAATGCTTTAGTTTTTTGATATGTGAAATAAAGGAGTGGACTAGATGGACTCTAATATTCCTTCCAGCTCTAAATCGATGAGCTGATGATTATTATTAGTAGAAGAAATATTACCAATGTTATTGTTATTAATGTTGAAGAAGAGTATTCTAGAACTAAAAATGAGCAATCCTGATGCTATCTGCAGGGGAATAATGAGAATTTACCTCCAAACTTCATGCCATGGACATTCTGACCCAGACGGTGATTTGAAGTTGGGAAATTTATGAGTTGCTCAGTGATGCTGCATATGGAAGGAAGGTTCCTGTTTTCTATCTCATACTTCACAAATCAAACCCAATTTCACACTGGTGGAAAAACTGAAACTGCTTTATTTTGACATAAGAAGAAATTTCATTTCTTCTTAGTTCCAATTGGACCCACCATAAAGAAACCACACCAAAGAGGATAATGTCTGGGGATTTGGGAGACAAGAAAGGTTGCCAGGTTATTCTCCTCCTATTCTCCTAATGTATCACTTGCTCAAGTTTACACAGTTAGTTAACTGTAGAATCTGGACATGAATCTCAGGTCTTTTGATGCAATATAGGACCATATTTCCATGATGCGTTTCTGCCTTCTGACTGGCCTGAGTTATTAAACGGAGTTCAAAGCACTAGATCAAAGCAAGGAATTGGGGTCAAAAGTGAGGGCTGATGGTGATGGGAGTGGAGGAGGGGAAATGTAGATCTTCCCAGAATACAGTCAGTAAAACATTCTGGAGGGAGAAGAAAAAAGTCCTAATGTATTTCATAGAAATTTTCCACCCCAAACCATATTTTTAAAAATGACTTCATCAATACTTCTTTGCTGTGCTCCATCTGTGTCATTGTGGGCCTGGAAATTGATAGAAATTTGGATAGGAAGTCAAAGGCCAGCTAGTCTAAGTCATGCTTGAAAAACAATCCCTACTACAGTATATTCAACAAATGGTCACCTAGTCTCTGCTTGAAGACTTCCAGTGAGGGAGACTGTCTTCTGAGCTCTTTCAAGGCCAGACTTGACCATGTTCCAGAGTTGTTATTATTTTTTTTCATGTTTTGCCATTTTGACCTAATGAGTGTCAAAGGGAGTTTCAATCAGATAGTATTAAAGCTTCTCCTTTCTCCTCTCCTCTCTCTCTTCCCCTTTTCTCCTTTTATTTCCTCTCATCTCCTCTTTTCTTTCTCCTTTTTCTTTTTTTCATAATCCTCATAGTTTTCTGTCTTTATTATTGTAAGAGTAGGACTCTACCCACTTAAAAGTAATTACTTTTGTTATGTAAGAATAATTCTTGATTGAGTCAATAAATCAGAACTGAGTGTAAACCAGTCTGAATATCTCTTTGAATCAATAAAATAAATCACTGTGTAAAAGACTTGGTCATGCTCCAGGAATTCACATAAAAGGAAGGTGCTACCTCTGAACCAGAGGGAGATTCTGAGGGTTTGGAAATAGAGAAGTTGGCACAATCTCAGAGTTGTAAAGTTAAGATGAAGCTGTGGGGAAAAAAGGGGAATATTGATGAGGGGCATTGGCTTTCTAGGCATCTTGGAGCAGAATAACTATGCTAGAGGAAGTGCCAAGAAAAGGTTGACTCTTTCCCCAATTTTCCTTTCCAGTATCTGTTTACCTGTAAACATAATATAATATAATGTAATGCAATATATGTTATGATATGATATAATGATATATATTATGATGTGATACAATGATATATGATATAATATAATATAATATGATAGTGTATAATATATGATATGATATGATATAATATGTGATGTGATGTGATGTGATATGATACACAAATATTTCCAATAAATTGAATTTTGCATTAACCCTAAAAAAGGCAGAACTTTATTAGAAAGATAAAAATGTAAAGTTAAGCAGAAAACCCAATCTCTGTCTAAATATTAGGAATTTTTCCCAACTGGGAGCTCAGAACCATTGTGATTGAACTCATAATTTATGTTTAAAATAAAATTTCTAAATATGAAGAGGAGAGAATCACTTGGACTTTATAGATTATTATATATATATATATATATATATATGTATGTATGTATGCATCAATCACATGTAGGCTGAAATGAGATAATTAGTGTAATAAGATGCTATATTTCTCTTTGCTTGATTATTTTTTTTCTTCTTTATGTGGTTTTCTCCATCTCACTCAAGCAGAAGTACACAGTCCTCACTCCCAGCTGGGTTAAGGCAAATAATTTTGATTCTTTCTTCCCAGTCTGCCTGTTTTTGTTCTGGCCAGAAACCCTGAGGGTCTTCCCATCCCAGTTTGATTTTTTTTTGAGTAGATGAACTAGGACATTTTTTACCTTATTTCTTACCTAGCCTCAAGTCGCTGAATGGGTGTTGCCTCAGACAACCTGAAACCTGGGAAAGACCTTAGCTTAAAAAGGCAAAGATCTCTCATTGCATCCGGGGTCATCTCCAGTTGTCCTGATCTATGTCTTGCCACTGGACTCAGATAACCCTGGAGGAGAGAATGAGACTGATAACTTTGCAACAGCCCTGCCTCACTCAAATCCAATTCACTTGCAAGTCATGGCATCACCCTCCTGAAGTCATTGATCCTCTTCAAGAACAAAGAGCAAACAACAACAACCTATAGTCCATGATATTCTTTATAGAACCCAGCCTAATCCTCCAGGGATTAGAGCCAAATCTATTCAACCATCTTGATTTGCTTCTTTGTCATTTCTACCAAATCTTTCCCTAAAACTCTTGCCTTTATATGTAAATTTTCTAACTCTTCTTCAAATACCTCAGGGAGTCCCTAGTAACCCTGAGCAGGTAAGGTGGTGGGAAGAATGGAGAATGGGACAGAAATTAACTGTCTTCTATTATTTCTTCTGGCATTATAAATCCTTGTTCCCTTTTTGAGAACAAAAAAACAATCTCTAACAACAGTAAGAGGTTATAGGTACATTTTATCGCAAAAAACAAAGGAGAGAGGGAAACAAAGACAAGGAAGCAGGCACCAGCTGGGCATTGCGCTAAACTCTAAAAATACCACCTCATTGGATCCTCCCAACCACCCTGAGAAGTAGTAGTAACAACATATATGTAGTGCTTACTTTGTTCCAGGAACTTTTCTGAGCACTTTACAAATATTATCTCATTTGATTCTCAAAACAACTTTGCAAGGTAAATGCTAATTGTTTTCCCAGTTTTACAACTGAGGAAACTGAGGCATATAGAGGTTAGATGACTTTCTCAGGGTCATACAACTAGCAAGTGCCTAAGGCCGGATTTGAACTCAGGCTTTCCTAATTCCAGGCCCAGTGCTCTAACCAAGGGATATGAGTTCCACAATGAGTGGGTGGTGGTCAAGAGTGGGTGGGGAATGTCATATGCCTTGATTGATGGTTGTATGCAGGCCCATGATCTGGTAATGGCAGAACTAAACTGCTAAGCACTGAATCTAAAGTCTCCAGCATCCTCTCTCTGATCTGACTGGAGCAACAGTAGATTGGTTCAAGGGCAGAGAACAGAGTGTCTTCCATCACTGAGGCCACACGTGCTATTTTTACTAGTGTCTAAAAGGGTCCAGTCCTCAAGCTTTTGTTGGAGGTCAGGTTCAGAGACCCTGGAAGAAGTTATGCAGAGTAATTGAATTTTACTGAACTTTGGGAGTCTGAGTCAGTTAAAGACGGTCCATGAAAAGGTCAGGAAGTTACAATTCATTCATTCATTCATTCATTCATTCATTCATTCACAGTCATCAGAGAAGCATCTACGATGTACTCCATACACTGCTGGGCACCAGGGATAGAGACAAAAATGGACATAGGTTTATATCCAAATTCTTTTATTCAGCTATTTTATCCACCTGGACAATAGCACATAGATCATCAAATGTTTTTTAAAAAGCAATAGTAGGATATTGACTTGTTCTTAGGGACTTAGTGCAATCTTTGGTGACTTGTCCCAGGGCCAAGGGTGTGTTGGTAAATGTTTAACAAAAACAGGAAAAAAGATGTTCTCATGACATACATTTCAATATTATTAGCACTTTCTTAAGCCTAGATAATCAACAAAACAATAAATCAAGTCTTGATGTGGAGTTATCGATTTCCAATGTGTAAATGCTCATGGTGAACATTTAACAATCAGCTCATCACACTCCTGCCCAGGATTGTTTAAGTGCCATTTAAAAAATGTAAATGAGATATTAGCAAAGGTTTGTATGTATATAGCACTTAATGGTTTGCAAAGTGTTTATGTATCTATATCTATTTATCTATCTATATGTGTATGTATGTACACAAAATATCATTTGTCATCTGTACATATATACATATATATGTATTATATATAATACCACCCTTTCTATAGAATCACATACCCTCACCTCCCCTTGTTCAGTACGGAATCTTGATTGTTTATGTACATTTTAATCTGACAGGATGCCTTCCTCTTCCTGGATCTCCAGTAGGAAATAAAAGTAACCGAGTTTTGCCTCCAGCCTCTGGACAGAGAGAGGAGCCAGACTGTCCTTGAGGGGTATTTTAGAGCTAAGGTGAGCTGGGATCTTGTGATTTCCAGACCTAGTGATCAGTAGGTAGGAATCTTGGGATTTGTTCTCCTTGGGGGAGCAGGACAGTGAGCAAGTCTTGTCAGGACTCTCTCTTCAAACTTGTTCCTCAACTCATTGGGGAAGAGGAAAGAAGACTGGGCAGGAACTGCATTGCACATGTGAGAGGCACCTGGAGAAATGAGTGAATGGTGAGGGCACAAGTCTGGGTGATTGCTCTAGCAATGATGACTAGGAGAAGAAGGAGGGTCTATGGCTGCCTGAAGGCATGGGGATATCATTCGGCACAAGTGATCAGACATTACATAGACTTCTAGGTTCCTTTGGGGGAACTTGATATTGGAAAGGAAAATGGCACCCATAAACTCCATTGTATGCAAGGTAGGTGGCCCAATGTCTGCCATCTGCCACATTGCTTCTGGGGCGGGGGGGTCAGCAGCATTCAGGTGCCAGATGTTTATGTGTTTTGGCACATCCTAGATGACTCACAGTTCCACTTACAGATAAACTTGAAAGAAAATGTGCAAATGTAATTATTCCATGATTTTTGTGTCTTTGCCCAGAAATGGGCACAGTTATAATTTTCTTTTTCATTGCTTGGTCTCTTATTGGCCCAGAACCTGGAAAGACAGGAAATCATTGAAATGAGAGGGCTTAATCCTTCAAATTCCCAGTTGGTCACCAATTACTAACACAAACTTCTTCTCCTCGGTTTGGACCCTGTCCTGGAGTGAAATAGTCTCGGGGAGCTGCGGCCTCAGATGCTGCCACAGCCTGGTGTCTCAGTAGTGCTTACCTGCCCAGCCCACAGCCAGAGCCTAGAAAGACTGGGCATAGGAGGCAAGCTTCAGGGACATAGTTGTCTAATCCCTTCTGGAAATAGCCCAGATGATTGCTGCATTCCTCTCCTCCTCACATCCAGGGCCATGCAGTCTTCTAAGCCCTTCTCCCTGTGGGGCCACACACACACACACACACCATACATTGCCATAGAGGCCACACTAAGTGTCCAGCCTGAGTTTACTTGAGGAAATCTCCAAGAGTCTTTTTTTAGAGCAGAAGAGGGGAAGGGGGAGGAGGGGAATTGGACTCACTCTTTGCTTTGGGCTTCATCATATGAGGTCCCATCAGTCCATTGCCAGCCTAAAGCATTTTGGTTACTCAGTCCAATCCAATAATAGGTACCATTGGCTTTTTCATAAAGAAATTTCTATGGAGTGAAAGCATATTTTTATTTTTTTTTATTTTGGGCTAGGCAATGGGGTTAAGTGACTTGCCCAGGGTCACACAGCTAGTAAGTGTTATGTATCTGAGGTTGGATTTGAACTCAGGTTCTCCTGAATCCAGGGTTGGTGCTCTATCCCCTGCGCCAACTTGCTGTCCCTAACAGAGTATTTTTAAAGGGGTACCTGTGTATGTTTGTGCATGTTTGAGTGTGCACTCATGCATGGATTGTGTATGCTTATGAGTATTCCAGTGTGTGTATGTGTGCATATATGGGTGCATATGTGTGCATGTGCGTGTGTATGTGCATGTGCCTATGTGTGTTTTCCTCAAACATAGGTCTGATCACATCACTTCTCTGACCTTTACAATCCAACGGCTTCCTATTAACTCTAGGATCAAATGCAAATTTCTCTACCTGACTTCTGTTTTCTGACCTATCTTTCCAGAACGACTATTTATTACTTCCCAGCTAAATAGGGCAGAGATAGAACACCAGGCCTGAAGCCAGGAAGACAAGTTCAAATCCAGCCTCAGTTACTTACTAGCTGTGTAACCTTGGGCAAGTCATTTCACCCCTGTCTGTCTCAGTTTCCTCAACTGTAAAATGGGGATAATCATAGTCCCTATAGTTGTGAGGATTTTTAAAACACTTACCACAGCACATGTAGTAGGCATTACATACTGCTAATTGTTGCTGTTATTTACACACTTTAAGGTCCAGTCAAACTGGCCTTTCTATTGTTCTTTGCAGATGACACATTTCCCATCTCCTATCTTTGTACTGGCTGTCCCTCATGGATGGAAAACACTTCCTCCTCACCTCTGTCTCTTAGAATCCCTAGTTTCCTTCCAAGTTCAGCTCAGATATCATCTTCTCCATTAGATCTGGCCTCCTCTCTCAGCTATTTGGACTCTCCCACGCCACCCCACCCTGAAAATCACCCTGTATTAATTATGTAGATTTCTATTTCTCTTGCACGTGTAGCTGTTGTACTGTCTCTAAAGAGCTGGTCTCATATCCAACTAGTCCTGCCTTTTACACATACTGACTGTGTGATTTGGGGCAATAATAATATTGATAGCTAACATTTACATAGCATCTACTATGTGCCAGGCCCTGTGCTAAGTACTTTACAATTATTCTCTCATCTGATCCTCACAACAACTTGGGAGGTAGGTGCTATTATTATTATTCCCATTTTATGGATGAGGAAACTAAAGCAGAGCTTAAATGACTTATCCAGGGTCACACAGCTAGTCTATGCCTCTCTGTGTTTTCAAAAAGCCCTAGCTATGTGTGAGACTATGTCTGGGTTGCTTGTAGACTGGCAGAGAGGTGAAATGAGCTGCCTGTGGACACCCAACTTACTGACACTCCTACCTCCCACTTCTAGGGCCACCAAGGACAGCACTGACCTGTTCTTTCACTGAAGTCACTGAGGCCAGGTGGGAGCCCTTTGATACACAATACTGCTCAGCATTGTTCCAAGACATTTTGTCACAGGAAAAGTAGTAGAGATTTCCACCGTGGATGATGTTACGCTCTAAGATTCTCTGAACAAGAATTTCTTGGGAAGAAAGAGGAATGAGAATGAGGAGAGGGGAGACCAGAGCTGGGCAGGGTTTAGCTCTGCCTCTTGACCCTGAAGTTGGCTGACTACAAAGTAGTGACCAAAGCTTGGTCAGTGGGAGCCAGGGTTAAACTATTATTGTCAGATTAGAAGCCTCTTGGGTCCAGGTGTGTCAAAGGGGGAGGCCATTGGTTGGGTTAGGGGTGAGGTACTTTTCACTCCTTCCCTTTTTCTGAAGTAGCCAGGAAGAGGGACAGTGAGGAAGCTAGAACAAAGGAGGAACAGGATGCTTACACCTTGGATAACTCTCCATGTGAGACTGAAGCTTGGGTGATGATGTGGCTGGGCAGAAGCTTGGAGGACAGTACAAAAGGTATCGAGGATGAGAGGGAACTCACGGTTTTGAAGTTTCAGAGCTGCATTGGAGACTTTGGCTCTCTCAAGTTGGCCATTTTTCCCTTGAAGATCTAGAATCACAGAGTCATGGTATTAGAAAGAGAGAAGCTCAGGGAGAGGGTTAGTCCAACTTAGTGAGCATTGAGAAGCCCCTGGAGTGGAGATTTGGGAACTGACTGCCATCCTGGGACTTGCAGCTGAAAGGGATGAACATTCCATTTGGGTCCTAAGAATGATTTGAAGTCATTTAGGTCTTTGAATAGAATGGGGAATTGAGTCAGGTTCCTGAATTCTTGAAAAGAAACAAATGGTCTTCGAGAGACAGACAGAGAGGAAGAAGGAGGAGCTCAGGAATGGAGTCACCAAGAAGTGGTGTCAGAACAACAAGGTGTGAAAAGGATTAAGCTGGAGCCCCGCAGGGAGACATCAAGGAGGACCAGTGAGGCATCTTGGATCAGGAGCCTTGGGCTGAAGCTCCTTGTTGTACTGACCTTGGCAAGAACTAAGGGAAGGTGCCAGAGAAGGTGTTCTCTTCTCCCTACTTCCCCTCCCGATGCCTGTCCATTAACAGACACTGGAATATGCTCCACTCATTTCTTGACCTCTGTATTTCTGGTAACCTGAGCTTTTCCTCAGCCGTAGAAATTAGCTAGAGATAAGCATTCACTTAAATTAGGGCAGAGATACAAATATTTGCCTAAATGTTAACTATTTTCCTAACTGGGGGCTCTGAGCTATTGTGACTATACTCCTAACTTTTTATTAAATTTAAACTCCATAAAGCATCAGAAGAGGGGACTCCAGGGATCTGAGATATCATTACATTATCTCCAGATTTTAAAAAAAAGATAATTGTTGTTACAGAGTATGGCAATTAAAAACTGAGAGACAAAGCAATAGAAAGGAGAGGACAGTAATGATTATCAGTCTGACAACTATGCCTTCTAAAGCAAGACCTGTAACTACCAGCTTTATATTCTATTGAGAGGAAACAACATGGAAACAGAGAAGAGGGACAGTGTGGTACAGAAGAAAGATGGAAAGATCTGGAGTCAGAGGACCTGGATTCCGATCCTATGTGGTTGGTAGGTTTTAGAAATAGCATTTGAACCCGGGTCTTTCTGACTCTCCCTACTATGCCATGCTGCCTCTCCAGGTTAGGGCTTCTGACACTTTATGGGGATCCCTGGACTGTTGGTCAGTTCCTAGGTCCTGTTCAGCCAGACTGGCCTTCTGGTTGTTTCTTTCACGTGACTTGACATTTCCCACCTCAATGCCTTTGTGTGGGCCGTCCGTCATATCTGGAATATGCTTCTTCCTCTTAGAATCCATTTGTTGTTGTTGTTCAGTTATTTTTCAGTTGTGTCTGACTCTTCACGACCCCATTTAGGATTTTCTTGGCAAAGATACTGGAGTAGTTTTCCATTTCCCTCTCCAGCTCATTTTACAGATGAGGAAACTGAGACAAACAGGGTCACTGAGACAAACTCACCCAGGGTCACTCAGCTAGTAAGTGTCTGAGGCCAGATTGGAACTCACAAAGATGAGTCTCCCTGACTTCAGGCCTGGCACTCTATTTGCTGTGCCACCTAAGTGCCCAAAAGCGTCACTTTATTCAAAGGTTCAACTCAACGGCTATCATATCCTACAGGAGGCCTTTTCTAATTCCTGCCCCCAGGTACTTGGGGCTTCCACAGACACAACTCAAAATTATTGGTGTTTGGTGTACATTAATGAGTACGTGTTTTTTCTTCTGACAAAATGTCAGCTCCTTGAGGGCAGGGACTCTCAACTTTTAACTTTGTATGCACCATGCCTGGCATACAGTAGGTGCTTAATAAATGATTCGTTTAATAGATGTCCATGTTCCTCTGACTTTTTCCATCTCAAGTGATTGAGCAGAGGAGCTGTCTGTGGAGCACCAATCACCCCCCTCCCCTATGTCAGTCTAGACTCTGCTCGCTCCCAAGATTCACTCTGGTGTTTTCTCCCGGTCTGATCAGAGAAAGAGGTTTAAGCCTGCAGCCCTTCAGACCATGGTGTTAGGGTGAGAACTTACATAGAATAACCACAACTTTAAGGGTGGCAGCCAGGGCAAGAACCAAGAGTGCCAGGGCAGCTTGGATGATCCTTAGCTTCCTCAAGTCTGGCAAGAGAGAGAGAGAGAAAAGAGTCATTAGCAGTGACTGGGGGCTGTGGCTTCCAAATCCAGAGCCCACCAGCATCTCCATCACTTGCATGTTCTGACTGTAAGATCACAACTTTAGGTCTGGAAGAGGCGAAATAAGCCAGCCTAATCCTCCTTTGACTGATGTGGAAACTGAGGCCCAGATATGTGAAGAATCTTGCCCAAAATCATAGAGATAATAAGCGTCATAGGTGGGATTTGGACCCAGGTCCCCTGAGTCCAAATCTAAAGCTCTTTCAACCGCCTCACAATATTTCTAAGGTAGACCCAGGATCAAGGTTTTACCAGAAGTTATTTATCTAATGAGATACATACTCACAGTGCTCGGCAAACCTTAAATGCAACATAAATGTAACTATTTATTATTATTATTGTTGTATTTTGTTTCCTCTTCGTATTTGTATCTGATTCATACATGAGACGACAGTTACCTGCGATCCTTCCATCGGTCTCTCTGTGTCCCTCTTCTTCCCCAAAAGGTCCCTGGCTTCCTGTTGTCTGGTACAGTCTAACACCATCCTCATTCTCTAGTCTAATCCCAAATCACCCCCTTCCCCTCCGTAGAGATTAGGCTCCAGCTAACCTGGACCAGTCTGTGCTACCAGCCCAACTTCCTGCCTGTGCACATGTGGAAAACTCCTGGCTCGGTGACTTTGTGCTCTCTTCATCCCTGACATCACCTCTCTCTTTGTCATGTCTCATCAAAGTCGTAGTCATCCTTGAGAGGCGAGTTCAAATCCCCTTGTCCTCCTAGGGGCCTGTTGCTCTTTCCTGCTGCTAAGAGCCATCTTTGCCTCTGCAATCCCATGGTCCTTTACCGTGCACCTCTCGAATGCTTTGGTCCTGGATCATGGTGTGTTAGAGCTGCCCATAACTGATGTCTAATCCAGTAACTAACCCTAGGGCTCCACAAAGACAAGGACCACATCTTACCATGACTTTTGGATCTACACAGGACCTAGCCCACAGTTCTGCACACAAGAAGTGCTTTCACTCACTCACTCATTCATTCATTCATTCATTCAGCAAATCTTTTTATGAAGTACCTCTTGTATTCCGAGCACATTAGTAAGCACCTTCTGTGTGCAGAGCCCCATGCTAGAGTCTGGGGGAAGAAGGAAGTTTAAAGAAGATGTAATTCTCATCTTCATGGAGTGGAATAATACACAAACACAGAAAACTGTACATCATGCTGTCATTAAAAAGTGTTTCACTCACCTTCCAAACCATTTATTGAATAGAATTGAGTTGAATTCAGAGACTACTATAGTACTGCCATGTCTCTCTCCCTGACACGACCCACCTGGGCCTTCACTTTAGCTCTTTGAGAAAGTTAATCAACCTGCCCAGGAAAATGCTGGGTGCTGTAGAGACAGGGAAAACAGAAGGAGCCATAATGGCACAATGGAAAGAGTCCTGTTTCTGAAGTCAGAGGTCCCGGGTTCAAAATCCACCTTTGGTGCCTTACTACCAGTGTGACCTTAGATAAGTCACTTCACTTCTGTGTCTCAGTTTCCTCACCTGTAAAATGATGGAGCTTGATAGCTTCTGAAGTCCCTTCCAGTTCCAGGTCTATGATTTTAAATAGAAGACAGTGCTGTTGCTCTCAAGCAACATAAAATCTCAAGGGTACGGAGGAGAAGAAATACTCATACATCATATAAAACACTGTAAGTTACTATGTCAATATGCCAGGTCCCAATCCAAAGCATGATGGGAATTGAGAGATGGGGAAGACTTGCCCTCTGCTGGAGAAGTCAGTCATTCATCAGTGGAGAGAGTGAGACTTGCATTGCATCTTGATCAATGAAGTGCTTGGCATAGCTAGCACGAGAAAAGGAACATGATATGTCCTGAGGACAATGAAGAGGAGCCTTCCTTGGCCAGAGAAGGTTCCCACTGAGGGCTAGTGGCAGCTAAGTTGTAGCCACATATAAGAGAGCCCTGAAGGCTAGTCTAGGAAGCTTATGTTCTTTTCTGTAGGAAGAAATTGACCAGAACCTGTGGAGGAGGGAAGAGGTGATGGTGTGAGGTGTTAAGATATTCTGGGGTCTGCTTGTGTCCACCCTTCCCTGAATGCCTCTGGAGATAGATAACCCAAGGGGAGCAGGGTGAACCATGTGGGTTGCTCTTATTGAATCATCTGATTTTCTCTGCTTCTTTAGTTGTTTTATTATGTTATAAAGGTATTATGTGCTTCTGTCTTATGTTTACTGTCAAATATATTTAGTCATATCTCTCTCCTCCCCTCTCCTAACCCTACTACAATGATAGACTATCTAGGGGCTAAGGAAGTACAAGAAGGTAGCTGGAGATCAGCTGCAAGGAGGAAAATGGACAGAACTAATGAAATAATTGAGTGTTTGCTTACTGATTCTGTTGGTTGCTTCTGTCAATGTTAGGTCATGACAAGAATGTCTTAATATTCAATTAAAGGCTAAGCAGATTGCAGCATCCTATTTCCAAAAAAGGCAAGGGTCTACCCTAAAACATTTTGATCATGAGCTTCCCAGGATGGAGCACTCATACAGACTGGTATTTGGCCAGTTTGTTACACCAGTGAGCCACCAAGGGAAGGCACAAGACCATGGACCTTACTTCAAACATGTATAAGGGGCAAGGAGGATTTTGCTGTGACCTAAAGAGGATGTGCTGTGACGTAAAGAGTAGAAGTGAAAGGGCTGGAGGAACAGATGTCTGTTATCAGGAGGAATAAAGTGTTCCTTGAAAGAATGTAAGAAGTGCTTCAAGGAAAATCCCCAAGAGAAAAAGGAGGTGAGGGGGCATGAGAAAATTCTCACCTGTACCATGAGACTGGAGGGTGAAGGAATGGGACACTAAGAAGGAAGAGTCCTGACATTCTGGAACAAATAAATATGAGACTTTTTCTGGAGAGGGGGTGTTGAGCCATCTCTAGAGCAAGCAGCTTCTTGTATTTGTGATGGTGGAGGATGATGTATAATCCCAAGTGAGTGGGCATCTAGTCATGGACGACAGGAGGACACATGAAGAAGGGGGTTAATATCTCCATTCTAAGGGATATATTTTTTCCTCACACAAACAACAAGAAGATTCCTTTCCTTTCAAGATAAGTATCTGGATTATGGTAGAGAGCTTTTGGAGACTTGTCAAATTTCACAACCACTACATACTTCTAGTGTTTTGTATAGGGGCAAATAAATTCATGATGCCACCAGAAAAATCCTGAAAAGTATTGCTAAGAATAATTAAATTCTAGGGTAAAACACTGGAAGTTTTGGGGACATAGGTGGTGTTTTCAGCCCTGCTAAGGAAAGATAAGGGGATTCAGAAGAGAAAGCAGATTTGGGTAGTGAACATATGGCTAAGAAGATGATATCTGAGAATGGAATTTGGACTTTTGGGCTATAGTTAAATACATCAATACAAAAAGCTCTTGACCAGGGATGGAGTGTATCTAACAAGGGCTGTTAAGAAACATATTTATCTGGGGATGATACAAGTACTTTTTTCACAGCATTCTTGTAAAAGTAGAGTGAGATCATATTATATATATATATATATATATATATATATTTATATAGCACTTTGCATACCTTAAAGTACTATTATTATTATAATTGATTTTCTTTCCTGATGGTTTCTTCAATCCTATCTTTTTTCTGCCTCAAAGAATTATTATAGATTTTTATCATTCCATTTTTATATTCCCCGCTTTCCTAATATGAACTCCTCCCATCTGAACCATAATCTAACTTTTGTATTTAAATATTTCTTTATACTTTTCTTTCTTTCCCTTGTCTGGTGGCACTTTCAGATCCCAGGCCCCCCGAGACAGTGTCTGATTATACTTTAAGAAACAGTCGCTTCAGCAGCATTACTTTAGTGACTCTTGCTGTTTAAGTTAGCATTAGCTGGGAAATCATCAGCTGTTTTTCATTATTGCAGCAAGAACACGTTTTGTCAAGATGGAACAAACTAGGCACTACTTTCTATGTTTAATTCCTGTGGGAAGGTCAATTGCATTTGAAAGAATTTACATTCAGATTTCACCATGTCTAGCACATAGTAGATACTTAATACAGTCCTGGTGATTAACTGATCTCCATGTTGTAATACCACAATGTCCTCCAAGGATAGGGTAACATTCATCTTATTCTGACATTGAAGTAAAAATAGCATGAAAGAATGTTAACCAATTTAACAACTGAAGTTTTTTTAGAAGACAATTTTGTCTTGTTTCTAGAAATGACTATTTGATGATTAACACACATAAAACCCTCTTACGTATAAGTGTTCATGCCATGACAAATATTAGTAGCTTTTGTAGCGAAAGATCTCAAGACGTTTCTATCCCATCAATATAAACTACTATTTTCAGTAGTCAATCTTTGTCATAAAATCTGACTTGGGTCTGAACTTTAAACTATAATCTTTGGTTTTGGGAATTTATGACCAAATCTGGCCATTTAAAAATTCATGAAGAAGGTAGGATGTGGGTGTTGTTTTGTTTAAAGTTGTTACTATTAAGAATGGCCAGATTATGAGAATGATGTTGCAAATCATCTATCCATAAAGATGGACTCGTGATTTTGATTGTTTTCATGAGAGCTTAAATGCTCTGATTTGACAAAAATGGAGAGTGCCTCATGTGGTCAGCACTCTTTCAGTTTTGTAGTTTTTACTTATGGGTTCACTAGATAATACCAATAGCTAGCATTTATGGAATAGTTTAAGGTGGGTAAAGCACTTTGTAAATATGATCTCATTTGATCTTCACAACAATTCTAGGGGGCAGGTGATTTATTAGCCTTATTTTACAGATGATAAAACCGAGGCAAACAGAAGTTAAATGATTTCTCCCGGGTCATATAGCTAGTAAGAGTTTGAGGCCAGATTTGAACTCAGGTCTTCCTAATTCCAGGCCTAGTACTGCCTTAGATTATGATGACAATATGGGAATCAAGTCAAATTAAACA